ACAAAAGGTAATTTGCATGGGATTGCTCTCTACGGTGATCAAAGTTTCTCTTAACTCTTAGGATCTGTATTATCTTTTAGTAAGATTAAGACCATTGTACCACTTGCCCTGAAACTATTCAAATGAAACCAAACATGACTGTAAATTTCATTTGCATTCATTTAGAAAATTATATTCTTGACCAGTTTGAGTGAATCCAGTGGAGGGAGGAGATGAAAAGGCACAGATGCATATGTGAGAGAGGCGTTTCCCGCACCACCCCTCTGTGGGGTGTCCTGAAGATGCCAGTGCATTGTTTGCCTCTCAGGAGATCAAAGTATTCTAGTTTCTTTTATCCTTACACCAGTAAAAAAACAACAACCAACATATTTGTTTAGAACTGTTCTGGACTGTCTTGTCTTATAAACAATGCTTGATCTGTGCATATTTCTCTCCTGATTCAGTGATTCAGACAAGAAAAAAATATTATTGGATAGAGGACTCGTATTTTAGTTAGAAGCAACGGTTAAATGATGCATTAATTATGAATTTGTTTCTTACAAACACAGATTTTCACTTCCCAAGTCATTAACTGATGGACTGGAGTGGAGTGGTTTACTTGTGGATTATTGTGATGTATTTATCAGCTGTTCTGACGGCACCCATTCACTGCAGAGGATCCATTGGTGAGCAAGTGATGTAATGCTAAATTTTCCCAGTTTGTTCCCATGAAGAACCAAACTCATCTAAATTTTGGATGGCCTGAAGGAGACTACATTTCATTCTTGGGAAAAAAAAAAACATTATTGGATAAACCATTCCTTTTGAAATATTCAACTATTTAATCTTACCATATTTATATACAGTGGGTACGGAAAGTATTCAGACCCCCTTAAATTTTTCACTCTTTGTGATATTGCAGCCATTTGCTAAATTTATCAGCTGTTCTGACGGCACCCATTCACTGCAGAGGATCCATTGGTGAGCAAGTGATGTAATGCTAAATTTTCCCAGTTTGTTCCCATGAAGAACCAAACTCATCTAAATTTTGGATGGCCTGAAGGAGACTACATTTCATTCTTGGGAAGAAAAAAAAACATTATTGGATAAACCATTCCTTTTGAAATATTCAACTATTTAATCTTACCATATTTATATACAGTGGGTACGGAAAGTATTCAGACCCCCTTAAATTTTTCACTCTTTGTGATATTGGGGAAAAAAAAAAACATTATTGGATAAACCATTCCTTTTGAAATATTCAACTATTTAATCTTACCATATTTATATAACTAACAAAGTCTTGAAAATGAATAGATTGTACTGTTCCCATTCAGTACACAAAATGCTTACTCTGTACAAAAGTATCTGATCAGAACATAGTGATTCTCTAAAAAAAGAAGTTGTGTGTCATAGGAAGCAGATGCTCATGTCAGAGCAGGGACTTTGACCAGAGCACTGGTCCCCATCACTTATCCTGCAGTAAATAATTAGTCTGCACAGTAAATAAGTGGAAACGCAATGTTTACCCTTGTGTGCCCTTTGCACTGTGGTGGGGCTGAAACACAAAGTCTTGAAAATGAATAGATTGTACTGTTCCCATTCAGTACAAAAAATGCTTACTCTGTACAAAAGTATCTGATCAGAACATAGTGATTCTCTAAAAAAAGAAGTTGTGTGTCATAGGAAGCAGATGCTCATGTCAGAGCAGGGACTTTGACCAGAGCACTGGTCCCCATCACTTATCCTGCAGTAAATAATTAGTCTGCACAGTAAATAAGTGGAAACGCAATGTTTACCCTTGTGTGCCCTTTGCACTGTGGTGGGGCTGAAACACCCACTTCACAGGCCAGAGTATGAGACAGAAGCGGATCAACTCTTGCCATGCTTTTGTGAAAGACGGGACATGTACCCTGGCCTGATGTAACGCCAATGGAGCAATGGAGATGTTCAGGCAGACATAGATGACCTTGACCCTACTAAACTACAATTCAAAAACTAATTCAAAAAAGTGTGTTTGTCAGGTACCATTTAAATTGACGTCCTTGCGTAATATAGTGAGCAGAATGTCAGCTGCCCAGTAGATGGGGCTGTTCTGCTAAATCCATTTTAGTCCATTGAAGTTATAACATTTTTCATTTGACTTTAGTACAATATAAATTAATCTTCAAAAGAAATTTGAGAACATTGTCTTTTTCTTGCTTATTATGGAAGCCTGGTTATGCATCAGAGTGAAAAAATGTAATGGTGTCTTTATATAATATTTCAAACCATCTCAAAAATTGTATTTACCTTTTTACTTGCTTTTATATTTTAATAAGGTTCCATAAATAATGCAACTGATTATTTTTTTCTTTATTATTATTATTATTATTATTAGTCTACTACAGTTCAGTTTTGTCACTTACACCCAATAAGCAGGATATACCATAAAGGACCTTAATGGACCCTCCTTGTCATACAACCTGTTTCAGCATTCCCTGTTGTCCCCGCTTGACACTGTTCCTAGTACAATCAATATTCCTTTGTACAGATATCAGTGAAATTGACACAGATGTACAAAAATATTGTTCAAGTACTGTTTAAAAATGTGGGGTTGTTAGGCTAAATGATTCTTTCTTTGAAAGAAGCCACCAAGGCTGCATTTATAATACAGTACAATACAAAAATACAGTAAATACAGTTTTCTATATTAATTTATTTTAAAATGCAATCTATTTCAGTCTTCAGTGTCAAATCAAAAGCTAAAAAGAACAGCATTTATTTAAAATGTAAATCTTTTGTGAATATCTTTACCATAACTTTTGACCAATTTAATGCATCTTTTCTGAATAAAAGTATTAATTTCTTTTTTTTTTAAATACTGACCGCAACTTTTGAACTGTTCATTTCAGGTCTTTTTTTTTCTTTAAGTGAACCTGACTTGTTTGTCTCCTTGCATAGGCTTAGCTGGCATCCTCCTCAGCCTTCATAATAAGTCCATTGAGAGGGTCTGTGCTGTGCATGCAGAAACACAAATCCTACTGGCTGAGCTTAGAATTTCAAATGAGCTTTTTGTGCTTTTAACACTGTGGTTTGTATTCGTGGACACAGAAGCAAATCCATGAACTGTGGTCTTTTTTAAGAGTGTCTGTCCTGTGATGCTGTTATTATCAGTGTGTGGTTCTCAGGCTGTCTTTTCCCCTCTCTCTCCCTCCGTTCCTCCCTCCCACTCCCTGTGCTGCATCCATACCGCTAGCTCCCTCACTGATCAGCATCCTTAGCTCCATTTTGTGTTAGGCTGAAGAAACACTGTCTCTCAGCGCATCCCCACATCCACTAACCCCTCCCTCGGCTTCCTGACGCACCACTGCGTACCAGGCCCTGCAAAACCAGACTCCCTCAGTCTGATGGTCTTGCCAGGGGGGGGGCTCCACCTGCATTGATGGTGCTGAGCTAAGGAGAGGCTGAGAGCCTATAGGAAAAAAATAAAACAACTGGGTGAGGAAGAAGACGGCGGATGGAAGCAGACTTGATGGAATAACCCACTGCTGTCCGCAATCTCAACAGGATATTGCCATCAGGAATCAGGTATGTGAGATCTTGATTGTTGTTTGTGTGTTTTAAAACCATTGTTTTTCATGTCTCTTATGAGAATAAGGAGGGTGGTGCACTATGCCACTGTTGTCCTGTCTGGAAAGCCAGAGAGTCTGTTGAAATACAAAAGAGTAAGCAGAAAATGGAAAAGATCTTGAAGATGTTATTTTTTATTTAAAAAAAAGAAGATATATGGAGAATTATTTAGGCTATTTAATCTTGTATTTGATCTTGTACTATCATACTATTTTAAGACTTAGTCTATATACTAGGCTATAAATGTATTTATTATTGTTGTTTTTATTGGATATCAAAAGACATTTAATGTAAAATTACTTTATTCGGTCTTATTTACTTGCATTGACAGTTTTGAGACTGGCTATGGTGCTGAAGAATGCTGTTTATGTTGGCAGGGTGAGGCCGTGTCATGAAATCTGGGCCTTTTTCATCATTCAAATGTTTTCAGTTTCAAAGGCCAGACAGATTAAACGGATAATTACAGAGGGAAAGTATCATCTATGAATATATAGAGCTTTTTTTATTTATTAAATGCGGTACTGAGGGTGAATACAGTGCGCGCTAATATTTAAGGATCAGGAAACGATTTACTTATTAAAAATCAGAAATTCGAAATTAAATTCTGTATGCCTGTATTCTGCTCTGAACTAAAGATCCTGACAAAATATTGCCATAGTAATAGACGCGTCACACTTCTTTTACACTCCAAGTCTGCCGCGACGCGACACGATGAAACGTTCTGAATTCGCGCTTATGCAATATAGCTAGATGATGACGATTATATAAATGCGTAGATATTGTTGATTATATTGGGAGCGTTCCTGCATGTCGAGACGCTGGCAGTGTATTGGGTGTTGCTGCCGCATCTCAGCATCTACGCAGAGGCAGCTCTAAATATAAACAGTTGGTATACATATTTATATATATATAACCTTCCTTTGTATAGCTGGTTTGCTTAATAACCGTTGAAACGCTTTCATTGCGTCTGTTTTGCCGGCTGAGCTGAAGCGGACGCAAATGCGCGTCCATCACAGCTGATTCATGACTGAACAGGCTGACTGTCAGGGCAGCCATTTTCAGGAGACTGTGAGGGCTGTATGTGATAAATAACATTTGCTCAATGCGCCGGTTTGTGTACAAACGTATCTATGATTTTTTTCTCTCTCGAAGGATGGCACGACTTAGCCCAGTCTTTTTCTGGAGCGAGATAGTGTACATACAAATGTTGTCCAAATTCATCCAGCTAGCCTACATTTTATTTTTAATTCTGAATATTTCACTATGGGTGGGTATCCCATATTAAGTTGCCAATAAGAATGAAGGGGAAAAATAGTCCGTGTAAATGAACAGGGTAATTTTCCATATTACCTGTTGCAATAAATAGCCTATATATGTTTCAGTCTATTTTCCATTGTAGGCCTAGGGAAAAGAGAGCAAGTGTATCATCCAGATGTCAGGCAACACTACCAGTGAGTGCTCTTTCAAAACATATTTTCTCTTGCTGTCAATGGTTATTTGAACTCATCCGAGTAAGAGATTATTGTCACTGTGCTGTAGGAGTTATTTATGACTGTAATGAAATATTTATTCCGATGGTCTCTCACCAGCACCCCCATGAGAGAATATTAGTGCATCTCTAGGCTTACAGGTTTGAAAATGTCACAGAGGTCATGCTTTAGTTTTCAGAAAAGGCTTTTTAATTGATTAGGTGTACAGCCTGTCACCATCTGACTAATACATTTGTTGACTTCAGATTTACTGTACACTGATTCTCAAAACAAGTCAAGCTATAAAATGATGTGCAATGTTTTGCATTAATCCGTCAAAACAAAAATATGAGGAGCAGAATCACAGTTTTGCTAAGAGATGGAGACAGGTTCATCTGACAGCATTGTCACTATTGTGCAAGAAAAATAGCAATACAATCTCATTGTCAGAATTTTTTTTTAATCAATATGTTTTTAGTAAAAATAATGGAAAAATGGAAAGTAAAACTATTTAGCACTGGTAAATTTTCATTTCATGTGCCATTAGCAAAAGTTTTGGACATGTTCAGAAACAAAGTCCATTTGATGCCAAGAATTCTGTGGCATTTCAAGCCCCCATTTCTAGAGCAGCTCCAAAAACTGTAAACTGCTCCGTTGTTCTGCCTGCAGTAGTGTGAGTGGGAAAACAGAGTGAGCTGATGCAGAGTGTGAGGTCAGACACACTGCACGGCTTTGTGCTGCTGAGAGGATGCAGGGAGGTTCATGTCCTCATTCCCAGAACCCAAGGGATGACATGATTCACGCTTCCTTAGACGCTTCCCCACACATGCATATATTGCCTTATAGTATATTAACAGTGCATAAAATGCTGTTTTGATGACTATATTGAGATGATATTTTTTGTCTTTTTTTGAACATGGCTTTTGTGAATAAATAAACATACATTCATGTCTTAATTTAATTTATATAAATGGTGTATAGTAGTAGGGTTGTGCCGATAGACGATATCGTGTATCGACGATAGATTTGTTTAGGCCTATATTTATTTTTCCGCGTTTTTTCAGTATTGCGCGTTCTAACCAATCACACACGATTATGCTGAGCTTATGAATGCAATGGCCAATCAGAGGCGTTCAGATGACTCGTCGCTGAAACAGCGGAGTTCTGTTGTTGAGTTCTGACTGAATTCTGACTTCTCTCATTATAAACAACAAAGTGCAGATGTACGTGCGATGCAAGTATAAGAGATTTATTCATCATATAGTGTAGATTCACTGAGTTTAACGGGAGTGTTTTTAAAGTGCATAAACTCGCGCTAGACTGAGCTTTTGATGATGATCTTTGGTAACCCTTACCAAAAAGTAGTATACTTCAAGTTTATTTTATTAAGTATACTTAAGTAAAGTTCAAGTATATTTTTAAGTATACTTTTTATATTTAACAAATAATATCGAACTCCCCATCACCTAACTTGTAGGCCAATTACGAGGGTCTATGGACCCTTCCCCCGAAATGCACCTAACACCTCAGAAAGGCAGAACAGGCCTCTGGTTCCATGGTAACCAATGCTGATATCACTGGTTTTATGGCCTAAAAGGAATGCAGGGGATAAACTCCCTCATTTTCCTCATAAGAAAGACACATAATGCCCAGAGAAATGGACTGTTCTCTAATTAATTCATAGGAAAACCTTTCTTTGATTGAATACACATATCCTTCAGATCATTGTGTATACCATTACTGTTCTTGCATATTGTCTGTTGTAGTGTATGCTGTTTTATGCATGTTATCATAGACCACTAGTTAATATAACCTCACCTATATCATGTTTGGTCTCTATGAATTCATCTTCGGATGATCTAACTGAGAGTGCATATTACATGCTGATACCTCTGCAACATATGGATGCTCTAAGAATCATTACTAATTTCTGCATCAACACCCAAGTGAATTACATATGCAAAATACCATGCTTACAGACAAAGACTCATAAAAATCCTCAGTATTTCCAACCTCCCGCTTGGGATTTCAGCCTTCCTCATTGGACGAACCCATCTTGAGAGGCGTGAATCTCCGCAGGCTTTAAAGGCCACACTTCATGTGACCCGCCCCAGTCGGTGGTTCGGTCAGATGCTAAGATGAAGATGTGAGAAACGCTCCAGGATACCAAAGCTCGTGCCATATTTCTGAGAAGTACATAAAGCCCATTTCTGAGAAGTACATAAAAAGTAGACTAAAAGTATACTTTCCTATTTTTTAGTTTAAAAGAAGTATACTAATAGCACACTTGAATAAACTTATTTTTCGTAAGGGAATGTAATGTTCTTTGCTTGTTTTCTGTAAGTTAGCGTTAGCTGCTTTTTGAATAATGTTAACTGAGGAAATGTAAGCATTATAATTAGTAACTTACGATGTTTCTATTAATTTGTTATCTTGTTAAATACAAATTCAGTCATATTAAAAACATTAGGCTGCTTTTAGCCTTACGCTGGAGTTGGTTTACTTTCTCACAATGAAACTTAAGTAACGTTAAATAATTACATAAATTAGCACGATAATATCGTGTATCGGCTATCTCACAGGCTGACAATATGAAAATTGAGCATATTTTGGCACATATACTGTATATATATCACATAAAGCGTCATCAACACTAGTGTATAGTTTATAATTATAATTAAATAGAGTTAATCATTATCATATTTTGCCATGAGAGGCTTCAGGTCTGAACATGATTGAAATGAAATAATGAGGCTGGAAATTGTTTTATTTAGTTTGTTGTTTTCTTAATTAGATTATAGATTTATTCTTATAGACATGTTCTCTTTGCTTTCTAGCAATTATAAACCCAAAACAGCCAAAGGAGAGCAAGAGCTTCAACTTTGACTATTCGTATTGGTCACATACAACGGTGAGTTTCTTGATATTAACTGGTGAATCTGCATCTTATGCAACTCACTGCTGCTATTTTTAATTCTTCTGTGATCATGATGGCTGTTATTGAGACATTTATGATGATTTCCTTTTGTGCTTTGTGCGTTTCTGTCTTCAACAGCCAGAAGATGTGAACTTTGCATGCCAAAAGCAGGTTTATAAAGACATAGGGGAGGAAATGCTTCTCCATGCTTTTGAGGGATACAACGTCTGTATCTTTGCCTATGGGCAAACTGGGGCCGGAAAGTCATATACCATGATGGGCAAGCAAGAGAAAGACCAAGAAGGCATCATCCCATTGGTAATACACTATAATACCATCTGTGACTGACATTATCGCTGTCTTTGATATTGTAGCAAATACTGTAGATGACTTAGATGCTGCCAAGTTTGAAGTAACACATTTTTAATGCTGAATCTGTCTGTGACAGCTATGTGAGGACCTGTTTACCAAGATCACTGACAATAATGACAACAGCATGTCATACTCGGTTGAGGTAAGAGCAGCACCTGCATCATAAAATGCATTCTTACCATAGAATCAGTATAGCAAGTGAAAATCTTGTTTTTCTCAGGTCAGTTACATGGAGATCTACTGTGAGCGTGTGCGGGACCTTCTGAATCCAAAGAACAAAGGGAATCTGCGTGTGCGAGAGCATCCTCTGATGGGACCATATGTAGAGGACCTATCAAAACTGGCCGTTACTTCCTACAATGACATACAGGACCTGATGGACTCTGGAAACAAAGCAAGGTGAAACACATTTCTGAATACAGAAGATGTTAGCCTCTGAATTACACTACCATTCAAAGGTTTGGAGTTGATACATTTTAAAAATTGTTTTAGAAAATCTACCTATGCTACATTTATTTGATCATAAATAGAATAAAAACAGTAATATTGAGAAATATTATTACAATATAAAATAAGTATTTTAATATATTGAAATATATTTTTTTAAGCACTCAATAAATTATTTGTAACATTGCAAAATTGCAAAATTATAAACTGTCACTGTTAATAAATTGAATGCATCCTTGCTGAATAAAAGTATGAATTTCTTTAAAAAAAACTTACTGACCCCAAACTTTTGAGCAATAGTGTATGTATCTCTGCACATAATTTTGAAGCAATGGAAACTGCAGAACAATTGTATTTATCTAAAGTCAAGCATAGATTTATATATTTATGTATGTAACTGAAATCAAATCATTCACCACTGCGTCGCTTTCCTGTTATCAGGACTGTGGCGGCCACTAACATGAATGAGACCAGCAGCCGTTCCCATGCTGTGTTCAACATCATCTTCACACAGAAACGACATGATAGTGACACAGAAAACACATCTGAAAAGGTACCGCATTCTCTCCTGCAGCCTTTCCCACCAGACCTCCCACGTTTGGCATTGTTTAGTATTGCACTATATGGGAAAAAGTGACCGCTTCTTCAGAAATAGACTACAGTGCAAAAGTAGGTGAGACTTCACTGATGGATGTTGGCAGTTTGACAGTTGCTGGTATGTGCATTAGAGCACTTTACCGTTCTTAGACACAATGTTTCCATTTGCAAACAGGTCAGCAAAATCAGCTTGGTAGACTTGGCAGGCAGTGAGAGGGCTGATTCTACTGGAGCTAAAGGCACTAGACTCAAGGTGGGTCACTTTGAGTTCAATAGAGTTACATGACAATTTGTAATTTCAGATGAGTGCATCACATAAATGTGCGTGCTTTGTATCTTTTCTAGGAAGGAGCCAATATCAACAAATCTTTAACAACACTAGGCAAAGTTATCTCTGCGCTGGCTGAAGTGGTAAGAATTCTTTCAATCTAGATATAAATATTCTTGAAAGAAAAAAAAGGGTAAATAATAAAAAAAAAAATTTTTTTTATTGTTTTATAGGACTCTGCACCAAACAAGGTAAGGATCCATTTAATTGTTCTTTAATTATCAAGCATTTATAGCTTTGATATGGCTTCTCTTCTCCCTACAGAACAAGAAGAAGAAGAAAGTTGAGAGCTTTATTCCATACAGAGATTCAGTTCTGACATGGCTGCTGAGGGAAAACCTCGGTATGAGGCTTTATGCACCATGCACATACTGTACCTTCTTAACAATAAACATTTCTCTCCATCACATAAAACATTGCATATTACAGTCAATGTGGTCAGTTTAACTGTGGTATGGTGCCAAAACATAAAAAAGATTCCTGAAGGTCACAGTGGTTTTCATTTATCAGGAGGAAATTCGCGCACAGCTATGGTAGCAGCTCTGAGCCCTGCTGATATTAACTATGATGAGACACTCAGCACGCTCAGGTAAGAACCACCGCTGTAATTTATACTAATAACCTAGGGTCATGTAACACTAAAAATGGTATGTTGGTATGTTAAAGGGATAGTTCACCCAAAAATGAAAATTCCATCATTAATTACTCGCCCTCATGTCGTTCATCTTCAAATCACAAATTAAGATATTTTTTGGATGAAATCTGAGAGCTTTCTGACCCTGCATAGACAGCAATGCAACTACCACGTTCAAGGCCCAGAAAGGTAGTAAGGACATCGTTAAAATAGTCCATGTGACATCAGTGGTTCAACCATAATGTTATTAAGCTACGAGAATACTTTTTGTGTGCAAACAAAAAAAAATAAAATACTGACTTCTCTTTTGTATCAGTCTTTGATGCGGTTTAATGAGGGTACCATGATACATGTTGTTATCTTTGTTTTTTTTATACACAAAAAGTATTCTCGTAACGTCATAAAATTAAGCTTGAACCACTGATGTCACATGGACTATTTCAACGATATCCTTACTACCTTTCTTGGCCTTGAACATGTCAGTTTCGTTGCTGTCTATGCAGGGTCAGAAAGCTCTAGGATTTCATAAAAAATATCTTCATTTGAGTTCCGAACAAAGGTCTTACAGGTTTGGAATGACATGAGGATGAGTAATTAACGGCAGAATTTTCATTTTTGGGTGAACTATTCCTTTAGTAGCTATGCATTACTATGAAGACTTCATCCATGCCATTAGATGTCATTAGCCTTAGCAGGTGATGTTCTGAATATTGAACTATTTGGGACATTCTGATGCTATCATGGATAGTTAATAGCAATATCACTGTCACAGGTACGCTGACCGAGCCAAGCAGATCCGCTGCAACGCCGTCATCAACGAAGACCCCAACAACCGCCTGGTGCGTGAGCTGAAGGAAGAGGTGGCACGTCTGAAGGATCTGCTTTATGCTCAGGGTCTTGGAGACATCATTGAGAGTGAGTCACCTGTGATGCACTTCAAACTGTGAAGCTACAATGTTTCAGTCAACTTAAAATTACAGATTTCCTCTCAGATTCAAATGCTGTAAAGAGAGTTATCCTATGAGTAAAGCAAACATTCTCTGCACTTATATTATTAGAAACCAGTGGGTCAGACAGCTCTAGGAATGTGTCTGAAGGACTTGTCTTCTCTCTCTGTTTTTCTCAGCATATAGGGGACAGGCTCCTGGAATATCTGCTCTCAAATGTGTGTATTTTGGCACCTTAAATGCTTCACAGCTTATGATAACCCAGGGGTCGGCAAATTAGTTTTTTCTTTTACATGAAATGTTTTTATATTTTAAATTTTTTTATTTACTGTATATTACAAATCTGTTCATAGCAGCTTTATATTGGTAATAAAACCTTATTGTTTTAAAAACAAAAATAAAAAGCAGTGCTAAAGTGTGTCACCCATGCAGCACTGTGAACAGGATTGTGTAACTCCCAGGACAGGATGTACAGTATATAGGTGACTCACTGTTGCGTGGATCAGTTTTTGGTTTGATGCGTCATGATTTTTCTTATATTTTTGCTTTATTGGAATCGTTCACGTCACACATCACCATTCACTCTCCAGAGCCTATTTTAACTCATATTTGCTTGATGAGTGGTAATTTTGGAATCTGACTTCAACATTTTAAAACAAAAATGAAAATTCCATCATTAATTACTCGCCCTCATGTCGTTCATCTTCAAATCACAAATTAAGATATTTTTTGGATGAAATCTGAGAGCTTTCTGACCCTGCATAGACAGCAATGCAACTACCACGTTCAAGGCCCAGAAAGGTAGTAAGGACATCGTTAAAATAGTCCATGTGACATCAGTGGTTCAACCATAATGTTATTAAGCTACGAGAATACTTTTTGTGTGCAAACAAAAAAAAATAAAATACTGACTTCTCTTTTGTATCAGTCTTTGATGCGGTTTAATGAGGGTACCATGATGCATGTTGTTATCTTTGTTTTTTTTATACACAAAAAGTATTCTCGTAACTTCATAAAATTAAGCTTGAACCACTGATGTCACATGGACTATTTCAACGATATCCTTACTACCTTTCTTGGCCTTGAACATGTCAGTTTCGTTGCTGTCTATGCAGGGTCAGAAAGCTCTAGGATTTCATAAAAAATATCTTCATTTGAGTTCCGAACAAAGGTCTTACAGGTTTGGAATGACATGAGGATGAGTAATTAACGGCAGAATTTTCATTTTTGGGTGAACTATTCCTTTAGTAGCTATGCATTACTATGAAGACTTCATCCATGCCATTAGATGTCATTAGCCTTAGCAGGTGATGTTCTGAATATTGAACTATTTGGGACATTCTGATGCTATCATGGATAGTTAATAGCAATATCACTGTCACAGGTACGCTGACCGAGCCAAGCAGATCCGCTGCAACGCCGTCATCAACGAAGACCCCAACAACCGCCTGGTGCGTGAGCTGAAGGAAGAGGTGGCACGTCTGAAGGATCTGCTTTATGCTCAGGGTCTTGGAGACATCATTGAGAGTGAGTCACCTGTGATGCACTTCAAACTGTGAAGCTACAATGTTTCAGTCAACTTAAAATTACAGATTTCCTCTCAGATTCAAATGCTGTAAAGAGAGTTATCCTATGAGTAAAGCAAACATTCTCTGCACTTATATTATTAGAAACCAGTGGGTCAGACAGCTCTAGGAATGTGTCTGAAGGACTTGTCTTCTCTCTCTGTTTTTCTCAGCATATAGGGGACAGGCTCCTGGAATATCTGCTCTCAAATGTGTGTATTTTGGCACCTTAAATGCTTCACAGCTTATGATAACCCAGGGGTCGGCAAATTAGTTTTTTCTTTTACATGAAATGTTTTTATATTTTAAATTTTTTTATTTACTGTATATTACAAATCTGTTCATAGCAGCTTTATATTGGTAATAAAACCTTATTGTTTTAAAAACAAAAATAAAAAGCAGTGCTAAAGTGTGTCACCCATGCAGCACTGTGAACAGGATTGTGTAACTCCCAGGACAGGATGTACAGTATATAGGTGACTCACTGTTGCGTGGATCAGTTTTTGGTTTGATGCGTCATGATTTTTCTTATATTTTTGCTTTATTGGAATCGTTCACGTCACACATCACCATTCACTCTCCAGAGCCTATTTTAACTCATATTTGCTTGATGAGTGGTAATTTTGGAATCTGACTTCAACATTTTAAAATAAACAGTTAAAGAATATTACAACCATATAACAATCATACAGTAAATCCTCTGTCCTTTTTATGTGTGTGCCAATATTGACCTTTTCTAATGTTGCCGACCCCTGTGATGGCCAAAGCAGGAATCTCTGGACCACCAAAGTCTATGCTGTGCAGTTTCAACTAATTAGTTTAAATAAAACTAATTAGTCTGACAGGCAACACTATTATTGGACTCTGCTGCTTTGGTGGTCCAAAGGTGCTCTAGAGGTTTTGCCTCAATGTGAAGCACAGGCATGTGGTCATCCATGCGGTCTGTGTAGTCACAGATCACTTTTACATTGAGTGTTCAGTTCATCTCCATGCTCATTATCTCAAGCATGGTCCAATGAATTTGAGGCATGAGGGAAAAATCCATTAATAATAAAATTTTTTGATATTCTAATTTGGTTGAAAAATAAAAACACAACAGCGTCCTCAAATTGATGCCGTCTGCCCTGCGCCCTCCAGCTTTATAACCTTTTTAATTAGCTTTTCAGCTTTGTTTGACACTCTCTACTCTTCCTCCTTCCCCTTCTTTTCTGCTTCCATGGTTTTCCTCTTTTTCTTACCAAAAATTTTCCTTTGACTCGCCAACCTGTCGTTCCCATGTGTTGCCCAGACTTGTCCAATTACAAGACTAATCTCAATAGCATCCAGGCTGTCAATCAAAGGGGTGATTTCTCCACAGTGACCAATGCCATGACAGGGATGAGCCCCTCGCCCTCTCTCTCTGCCCTGCCCAGCAGAGCTGGCTCCATCAGCAGCCTGCATGACCGGATCATGTTCAGCCCGGGAAGTGAGGAAGCCATTGAGAGGCTGAAGGTGAGAGAGAGGATGATTGGATGTATGGTTTGATAAAATAATAAGGACCAGTGATGATCGTTTTAACGCCGACCTCTTTTCCAATTAGGAAACTGAGAAGATAATCGCAGAACTCAACGAAACTTGGGAAGAGAAGCTTCGTCGCACTGAGGCCATTAGAATGGAAAGGTTGGAGACCCCTGAGAGGGCTTTTATCTTGAAATGTGTCTGATATTTAAGTTGTGTAATTCATTTGTTAAATAAAAATCTTCTGTTTTCATTAGGGAGGCACTTTTGGCTGAAATGGGTGTGGCGATGAGGGAAGATGGAGGAACCGTTGGAGTCTTTTCACCAAAGAAGGTTAGAAGATCAAATATGTTTTCTAACAGGAAGCTAGTGAAGTCATATGCTTCAGTCAACACTTCTTTATGATTTGACTGTTTCAGACACCTCACCTGGTCAACCTCAATGAAGATCCACTGATGTCCGAATGCTTGTTGTATTACATTAAAGATGGAATCACCAAGTAAGAATGTTGATTATTTACAACCAGTATTTTCAACCATTGTCCACAAAGACATTAGTTAGTTTAGTTAACATGAGCTAACAATGAACAATACTTCTACAGCATTTATTGATGTTAATATCAACATTTACTGAAACATTTAAGATCAAAAGTTGAATCTGTTAAGGTAGTTATGCACTCTGAACTAACTTGAACATTTTTATTACCTAATTTTTTTTGTTGCATTTTTAAAAAATTTTATTTCAAAAATGTATATTTTTGGTATTAAATGATCATCATCATGGAATTTTCAATACTTGTTTTGAATTTTTTAGTATCTCTATTCTGTTTCCCTTCATTCTGACAAATAGCCTCCATATATTCCTGCAGGGTTGGCCGCGAGGATGCCAGCAGTCGGCAGGACATTGTACTGAGCGGCCACTTCATTAAAGACGAACACTGTATCTTCACAAGTACTACAAATGCGTCGGGAGAGGGTGCGGTGATTATGGAGCCCTGTGAGGAAGCAGAGACTTACGTTAATGGGAAGAGAGTGACAGAGCCCACTATTCTCAGATCTGGTAACTCTTCAGTTTCCAGGCTGAAAACAATCCCAGTCTGTTGAAAAACTTTTTTTTTTGGTGCCTGTAAGATGTTTTGACCCTGTCTGTTATCTGTCTTAGGTAACCGTATCATTATGGGCAAAAGCCACGTGTTCCGTTTCAATGACCCTGAGCAAGCACGGCAAGAGAGGGAGAGGACCCCATGTGCAGACACACCTGTCGAGCCAGTGGACTGGGCCTTTGCCCAAAGAGAACTACTTGATAAACAAGGCATTGATATGAAACAAGAGATGGAGCAGAGGTACAGCAGCACTTCTGTCACTAGCCCTCTTGTGGTCCTAAACCAGCAAAAATCTGATCTAGATAGGTGGAGCTGGGGGAGGTGGAGGGTTTCAGAGGAACTCTGATAACATGCTGCAGGACTATTTAGTATCTAGGTTTTGCGCCTTGATTCTGATGCTTACATCATTTACAGGTTACAGGAGCTGGAGGACCAGTACCGCAAGGAGAGAGAAGAAGCAAGCAACCTTCTGGAACAGCAGAGACTGGTAAACCATTTAAGATTAGTAAGAGCTTAATTAGTCTTTGAGTAGTACAAACTCAAAGAAGCTTGCAGTGAACCCAAATTTCACACTGATTTTTTTGTTTAGGACTATGAGAGTAAGCTGGAAGCTCTTCAGAGGCAGGTTGACTCCAGATATTACCCAGAAACCACAGAGGAAGAGGAGGAACCAGAAGAGGAAGGTGGGTAACGCGGTTTAAACCACATAGGTACTTATCCATATATCAAATGCATTATCACATGACTTGTTCAGTTGTTTCTTAGACATCACATTTGAAATGGGTTCATATTTTGGTCCTGTAGTGCCGTGGACAATGCGAGAGACAGAACTGGCCCTCTGGGCTTTCCGGAAATGGCGATTCTATCAGTTCACCTCTCTCAGAGACCTGCTCTGGGGAAATGCAATTTTCCTCAAGGAGGCTAATGCCATTAGCGTGGAGCTAAAGAAAAAGGTACACTAAAATAATTTAGGTCAGCCTAATGATTGGATATGCCTAATGAGTAGGATAAATTGTTTCCCTTTTTCTCTGCAGGTTCAGTTTCAGTTTGTGCTACTAACGGACACACTGTACTCCCCACTGCCTCCTGACCTCCTGCCCCCCAGCATAGCCAAAGACAGGGAGAAAAGGCTGTTCCCTCGCACCATCGTAGCAGTAGAGGTTCAGGACCAGAAAAATGGTGCCACACACTACTGGACCCTGGACAAACTCCGGTACAGTGAGACTAAACATACACAATATACACATAATTCCCACAAAATGAGTCTAGCCCTGAAGTTATGGATCAGGATTTATAGCCCAGCTATCCCTGTTGAAAAAAACAGCATATGCTGGTTAGGTATGTTTTGACGCTGGGATGCTGGTTTAAACTGGTCCTTTGCTGGTTTATGCTGATCCTTTTGCTGGTTTATGCTGGTCATTTGCCAGCACATGACCAGCATAAACCAGCAAAAGGACCAGCATAAACCAGCAAAGGACCAGCTTAAACCAGCATCCCAGCGTCAAAACATACCTAACCAGCATATGCTGTTTTTTTCAACAGGGATTTTCAAAATGGTGGCATTTTGTGGTAATAAGCTACTTTTTATGACAAGTGGTGTAACATGAAAAAATGCTGCTTTGATATCATATGAATATCTGTCTCATATGCTGCATTGAGAAGTCTGATGCATTTTAGTAAATTGTTTCAGTAAATTAGTTCAGACGTTTCATGTAAATAAACAATTCACTAACCAATTCAGCAGCCCTCATTGTTTTTTGTAGCAGAAAGATTCTGCTCTGATTAAATTGTATATCCGATTGTTAAAAAGACATTGCTCTATTAAAAATCTGTTACATACTTTTTGTTTGTAACTACTGAAGTAGTGGCAAACTAATTATTTCAAATGTGTAGCTTGACTGTAGTCAAACTACTTTAAATTATGATTAGCATGTAGCTTGTTCACACCTTAAACACTAATTTCAAGCCGGAGAGGTATTGATTAATGTACCGTAAAATGAACAAGATCACTTTTTCTACTCTTATCAATGCTTAAGCCCTTGAATAATGGCCAGTAGCCTTACATTTACATAACAGTCATGAACCATTATTTGGCATTGCTAATCAAAGGCAGGTGGTAGTAGGTGGGCACTTATTCTCATTCTAAAGAAACAAACATTTGGATAAACCATATGTAGAATGAATCATGAGTATTTTTGCTGTTTTCCTAGAAGACAAACATTAAACATTTTAAATACATGTAGCTGGTAAAAGTTAATTTCACCCTTTAGGAAATAAACCATATGTAGAATGAATCATGAGTATTTTTGCTGTTTTCCTAGAAGACAAACATTAAACATTTTAAATGCATGTAGCTGGTAAAAGTTAATTTCACCCTTTAGGAGCAGACCAGACAAGCATATTGATGATCTCAAAGCTAATAGGCTAAAGCTAATGGGGTTTAATGCATGTTAGCCGCCTTTTTCTTTTTGGTTTATGCTTAAAAGGTGAGCATGTAAAGAAAACTTTGCAGATAACACTACAGAGCGTGGTTTGTTACTTTTGCTGATGCAGTACTATTTTCTCTGCAGACAAAGACTGGATATGATGAGAGAAATGTATGACCGAGCAGCAGAGGTGCCCAGTACTGCAGTCGAGGACTGTGATCATATGATGTCCGGTGGTGACCCTTTCTATGACCGCTTTCCATGGTTCCGCCTGGTTGGTCGGTGAGTAATCGATCAGTCAAGTTTGTATGCTCTAAAGTGCTAAATGGATGCTGGTATTCCCACTGTACATGACTGGAAACTGCCTATGATTTGCATTGTGCTTTTAATGAGGGGTCCTTCACTTTTTGAGTTGAATGGTGAGCTATGTGCAGCTTTCGTTTTGCACTAATTTTTCAGTATTCAGACACTTCAAACGCTAAAGCTAAGCTTGAACACTCCTCACCAAACACACTAGAAGATCATTAGCTGAACACAAATTGGGAGGCTCATGGCTGGGTTTATGCTGACATATTGTACATGTGAGCGAGTGTGTGCAACAGCGTGTGCGCGTGTAGTGTTGTACTAACCCAGTTCCCGTGTTTTCGGCTGCACCAGCACT